GTGTGAAAGTAATAAATTTTATATGACAATATTCATTAATGGATAACGTCCGCTGGAAATATTGGTAAGTGGGGAAGCAAGAAGGAGAACTGTATGAGAAAAAGGAAACTGATATTTTGCATTCCGTTGGGACGAAATATAATTCGAGGCTTGGGAAAACAGGTTTTCGGGAATGTAATTATTTGCATTCGCATCGATGGAAATAATGAAATTATCGGTTTCTCAAAACATATGCAATGCAAATGGAAAGTTGGTATCTCACTTATCTTTCATTTCGGTTGTAATGATCAGAACGTTTCAATTACAGACGGATGAGAAATTGCAAAATGGAAAATTACGCTCGCGAGCAATCATCGATAACTTAGCAAAACAATCCTAAGAACCATGATTTTGCTGCACTCACTAATTAACGTCATTATTTACCCAACATGCTTATTAGAGCTACTGATCAGTTGTCAAATAAAATATATATAAAATTTGCAAGAATATTTTTCAAAATATAAAATCTTTAGGCGATACCTGTTTACTAATAAAATGCAAAGAAAACGCCTTCAAATAACAATATATAATTAATATTGCTTTTAACCAATCCAATGTAGAAAATAATCCAATGTGGAACATGTTACATTTGCAAAAAGACTAAAAGCTGAACAGAAATAGTTTAGCCAACAATAAGAATCAAAGAGTCTTTGCTGAAGCAGTAATTATGTGATCATGGAATAAAAGTATTTCGCACCGTGCAAGATTGACAAGAAACGGAAATGAAGAAATAAATAATAAGCGCGCTAGCGAGTCATGATTTATCCGCGCGCGAAGCAGCTGCAGATCGAATCGCAATATTTCTCATTATTCACATGTGCATTTCTCATTTTTTATCGGCGAGCTATCGCCAGCCTCGCCGATTAAAGAAAAAAGAACCGAGGAAGAGAATGTCTTCCTTATGATCCGTTTGATATCATCCTGGCGCTAATAGACTTACTTTCCCGCCACAAATCGCACATTCCATAGAACCATTTCAGGCGCAACAATTGTCTATACGTGGACAATCATGGACAAGAACCTATCACGTATTTTAAAACTACATAATGCTAAATATAGTGTATACAATTTTTGTATACATTATTATCGATTTAATCTTCTCTTAAGATTATATTTTATTATGTTATACATATATTTTCATTATAACACAATATGACAAAACAAATCCCAAGTGACATTTAAACAACTATTTGTTACAATGATAGTTTTCTTGGAAATAATTTTGCATTTTATGATAAACAAATTACGGTGCAATAAACAAGAGAAAGCAAAGTGTAACTTTTTGTGACGCAAATGAGTGAAATAATATAACTATCAAAAATTTTGATCAAATATTTCGATAATTAACGACATTTTACAGTCAAAGGAACGAACTGTTTATTCATAAATATATTTCAACTGCGTAAATATAATTAATATGTATGTGGTGTAAAAATAAATAAATAATGTAAAAATTACAGAAAGACTGATACAGCACTGATACAATCGATTATTGTAATGCAGGACTTGATACATTCTGCAATTAACGTTGAGAGATAAATTAATTTTTTTCCACGTTATAATATAACTAGGTTATTGTTTTAGGCCAATGATATAAAAATTCATGAGAATATGAGGAAGCGATTGAGTATGATACGAGAATTTCTCTTCGTTCGCGGAAGAGTTATGAAAGGGTTAAACGTCGCGGGAGAAGCACGAAGGAGCATCTGTGCTCGGTGAATTCGAAACCTCGTATTACGCCATCGATTACGCGGATGACCGTATTGGAAACTCCTTAGAGCGAACGCCGCGTGCATCGAGCAGTAGAGATCTCGTCTTTCGCGGGTAACTGGACGAAGATCGCCATTCACTACTGTAGAATAGCTACGACGTGATTCTTTGCATCTTGATTTAGCAACTTCAAATGCTAAATAATCGACGGCTGACAGGAATACAAATGAATCTTACAAAATTCGACTCACGAAATTGAAATGAACAATGCATATTTCGACAATGGAGAAAATAATCTTTACTCCAAATCTTCTATTCGACCTCTTTCGCGGAAAGAAAAGCACGACAGCTGTGAGATAGACGTAAGTTATCATCTCATCTGGTATCGAAATTAAGTTTTCAAATTATTTCGATGTCTATTTAACTGAAATATTTATTTAGCGTTTCTGTCAAGAATTGAAAGTTTTAAACTTACTAACGACAGAAAATCATATAAATCGATCCAGACACTCAATATATTTTACATACGTTAATTTTTATATAATGGTTGCTGAAAAAAATATTTTTAAATATCTATCGATTCTCTAAAACACTGTTGTATAATTCTTTTTACTTAACAATTTAATTGTCTGATTAGATACTCTATCATATATTTTGTCTACATTTCAGAGCTGCGAGCCAAACTGGACTCTTCAAAATAAAATAATCTGAATAAAATAAAATTGCTACGTTACTAGTATAATATTGTACTAAAAGCACGTAAGCAATAGAAAGTGTGTGTCAAAAGAAATTGCATTGTGCGATAATCTATCAGTTGTGTGAAATTATCACACTTAATCGCGACGATGGAAACTTATATTCTGATAAATCGAGATGGCGAGCCTTAATCTATTTAATGGAATAATAAACTAGCGGCTAAAAGTAGTAAACAAATATTTTATGCGTACTAAACGCGAGATACTTGAGTAAGAGGATTTAGAATATAACATAATTTCTTATTAGCCTGCCGTATTATGCGCGGATGACGCGCAGAAATCCTCGATCCCGCTCATACATAGTTACGTATTACGTCTCTTGTTCGCGAAGTGCTCATTTATTATGTAGGTTTATCGTAATATAATTCACACCGTGTTGCATAAATAGGTCGATATGGCGAATGGTACCATACGCATTATCGTATGCGATTTATTCCAAGCTCGTTGAATCTTTATTTTTGTCTAGTTTATTTAATCATTACTATCTAATTATAGCAATCTAATTATTATTCCGTTATCTATCAAGATATTACTTCGTGCCACTTATCTGTAGATATTTATATCATTTTTACTTGACAGAAAGTGTGCTGATAATATTATATTGCCACATTATTGTTTATATTATTAAATATAAATTATGTTTCATAACATTAAGTCGTACTTTATCACGCCGAGGATATTTTATGTTCTTCAATTTAACATTTAGATATGACTGTTAAAAAGTGTGTTCGAGTACAATTACTTAATATAAACTTAACGGCCGCAGTTTTAATAGTTAATACCAGACACTGTTTGCAACTTTTTCCAAAAATGTATACAATTCGCGTCCCCCTCTCTCCCTCAACGCTCCATAGATCAACATCATTGAATGTGCCGACGTGAATTTCTCGTGTACAAGGAAACGCTCTTTCTCAGGCACGTACTCTCGTTCTTAACATAACACGAGAAACCAGGATCTCGGAGGGAACGTCGCGCGCGTTTTGCCCTCCCGATCTCCGTGCGATACTCTAAGGCAAGGTAAAGGCGTAGTGTGATGAGGCAAGGGTGAGACAAGGCAAGGCAAGGCAAGGTAAGGCACGGCAAGGAAGCCGCCCCTCCGTATGACGGGCGGAGGGGCCCCTCTCCTTGCCGCCTACCTGGGTCCCAGCACACCGTTCAAGAATCATCTTATTAGAGTCCCCCATGCTATATAAACCCATCGTGCCAGCATGCCGAGTAGTTACGTACTGACTTTATTCACAGTCGTGCGCCGGAGAGTGCATCGACGACATAACAGCGCAGCATAATACATTGCACATCCTGTTCGTATACGCATACGCACGTGTGCTACATAATCCTGCCGATCGTATCACCTCGTTTTGTGAAACCCCCATCGGGAAGTTGTCGATCGCGTAAAGCCTACGAATCGACACGTACGCCGGGCAAGATCCCGATGTCAATCTCGCGTCTCAGTGGTGTATCGTCACCGATCATTAGAATCGACATCGTCGGTTTATCGGGGATTTTTTTCAAAGCAGTGCACGATCAGTCGGGCAGTTACGCACGACATAGTCCCTTTAAATGGATAATTAAATTGCTTGCTGGTGCTTTAGAAAATGGGAAATACGATTCTTACGAATCGGCGTCAAACTTCGTCGGATGACTTTCGTGTGCGTTATTGCCACACGTTATTGGCGCAAAAAATTAAAAATGTGACACTAATTTGATACTTTTAAAGAAATTGATGCAAATAATACCTTTAACTGGAAATATTATCCAAAGGCAATATCTTCCTAAATTATTTTTAAACAAAGTTTTTGTTTATCAAAAAGATAAGATATTTATATAAATATATTCAGAATAGATCGCGCTGTTGTTCAAATGACAAATAAAATTTTGCCCTAAAATACGGTTCAAAGAATATTACTGGAAAAGAACAAAGTAAAAAAGTCTATATAGAATAAAATATATTTTATGTATATTGTTTGGATATACTCAACTTTTGATTGTTATATTAAATCTACTTTGGATAATTTGTAATTCACATCACAACTTAGAAAAGAATTCTATCTATAGTTTTATGTGTAAAATTATAAAAACATTTTGAAGATTCAGAAAACATACATAAAATATCTATTCAAAATACACACACATATACATATTAAAAAAATATAATTGTAAGTAGTTTTCCCAAAATCTGATATGAGTTATAGATCGTTTAAAGTCTATCGAAAAAGTCGCAATACTATAGGAGCGCGTTGAAGACGCAGACATGAGAAAAAGTCGTGCGCTTATAAATTTCTTTTTTCTAATCGTATATGAAAATACATTTAACAAAAACGCGTCGTAAAAAAAATTAGATATCATAATGTATTTATAAAAATGTCATCATCCGACGCATTCGATATACGTGTTTCCCCCCCCCCCCCCGCGCTCGTACATTTACATATTCGCTCATGATCATGAAATATCTCTCTCATGCAGTGTTAATTTGAAACTTTTTCAGTGCGCGTTGATTGCTCTACTAAAGGGTTGTCTCGTTGTTGTTTCCGCTAGCGAGTACGCGAGTTAGCGTGGTTCCAGCACGTCGACCTGTATCACCTAGTGCGGCCGAAAGATGTATTACTTGCAGGTACGTGCGAGATCGACTTCGCTTGTGTAGTTATTAATTCGCTGTACACATCACGACACAGAATTGTAAAAATTAAAACTTGATCCTCCTGCCATAAAAGACGTAATTGCAACCACACGAGTGTGATGCAATTAGCGGCAAGACGCGCGTTACCACCCACGTAGTCCATCAGCACATTTACAATTAAGAAGCGCCATTAACTTCAAAACCATCATAGTTAGAGTTTTTACGATCACGTGGAGAGAGAAAAAAATGTGAAATTGATCGTCGAGGGACGAATTATTAGATAGGCCCTTACATAATCTTTGCTTCGCAAACTTTATTGTTCATAACTGTCTCACGCCTCGTTCGCTGCAATTCATTATAATTATAAATAATTTATGGTAATTTGCAGCGATAAAAGTCACTTGTAATTTATTGTCATAAAAATGACGGTGTATTTCTTGATTGTTTAAAGAAAAGACAAGCGACCTTACGCTCGAGTGAGGTTTTTCGACACGGCGCGACACGGGGCATTCAGATCTTTAATTGTCAATTATGAATACCGATCAGCGTCGCTGATTAACTCGTGTCGTCCGTCGAGAAAAATCCCCACACGAGTCGAGACGCCCGCGAGAGGGAAGGTGCGTGGAAACTTGTCTTGCGGTACGTGCGTTGATATTAACCAAGATTATATTCTCCCTCTGCACTCCGCGCGACCTTTACGTCGTTTATAAAGCCACGTACGACTCAATCCTTCCCCACCCAAAGAGGTGTTAGCGCGTTGATAGAGCGGCTTTGTTATAAATCACTTACGGCTGTCGCCCGGTTAATTCGCATCGCGCTTGATTAATCGAGCGATCTCTTATCCGCGGCAAATCGATAATCGCCGCGTATCTACCGTTAAATACCGCGCCGTTTGCGCAGGTAGCTCTGACCAGCTGTCGATCACCTTACAAGGAGAGCCACGGTCACGCGAGATACAAAATTATCTCCCTCGACTGACAAATTTCATATGAACGGTAGAAAGACGGAGAACATTTTCATTTTAACTTCCATTAAGCAAGTATCTCAGCTGTCCGCCGCCACACGTAGAAACGACTTGCGAAAAAGTCTAGACTCTCCTCTCGATAAGCTCAGCCCCGAAAGGATTCAAGTTATCCGCGAGTTTGATCCGGCTGTGCCATTGTCATTAGCGTGTCTCATTATCTCATTCTTTTATTAAAATATGAAGGCAAGCGATTACAACAATAGTCGGTGATATCATCGCGCGATATGCACGTCAGACGCGCGCCCACACGACGCGCGCATCGACATTATAATGAGATATTAATGAACTAACTGGGCGCGCATGCAACCGCATTTGTCAGCCCCGTCGGAGTGACTTCTCACGCTTCTCCACATTTCGATTGACTACTGGAACGAAGTTGCGACACCTCCTGCGAAGCGTTGCACCGCCGCGGGACAAGTCTTTAGATGCTCTCACCCCTCTCTCTCTCTTTCTCTCTCTTTCTCATCTCTCTCTCTCTCCCTTTCTCCTCCCTCTCTTCCTCTCTTTCGCTCCCGTGTGTTTATATTTTATATTTAATGCACACCTCTTCTCCGGCGGCACGTTGCAATCGAAGTACAGGGTTAAGAGCATAATACAAAGGTCTCTACTGTCGCAATAGAGCACAGATCGCCGGCCGCATCTCCGAACAACGTTGACGTAACATCGCCGGCATTACTGATTCGATCTGCTCCTTTTTCACGTCGATTTTCCCTCGCGTCGCCGGCCGGAGCTAATGGCCGGCGACGAATCGCGCGTATCGTCGCGTGGGTCTGTTATTACCGCCGGAAAAAAGATTCGCGATAGAAGTCCCGCGGTGCGCTTATCGTACGCGAAATTGCGCTCTCGTCGTTGCGCACGAATAACGTTCGCTAACCATCCTCTGGCTCTCTCATAGTATATTAATCCTTAACGCTGCGCGCAAGTGAATGATCCTTCACGCGAGCGCGTTCCTACGTTTTTCATTACCTCTGCCATTTTCAAGGAAAACTTTACGTAAAAACTCGTGTCCGTTTTATTTAATGTTCAGTTGCAACGTATACGGATAACAAACATATATATCCATATACGAATTGTACGAGAAATGATCACTGAGATTAATTAAAAAAGTGATTATTATCACGAGACACGGTAGTGTCTCTCGCCAAGTATATTTAACGTTGAACTTATTCTATTATTATTTCGCACGAGTGTATTTTAAATAGATACATTGTGCCTTTCAATAAATTTTATATTTATTAATTTACTATTAATTTATTATTTATATAAACGTTTTGAGAATCAAGTGATTTTTTACCAGGTGCAAATCAATTGAGAATTTCTTTAAAATTCATTATTAATTTTTCCGCGTCATTTATTATTTTCATCGTTTATACTTGATAATTCATCTGCTGATTCATGTAAATTAAGTTACTCTAATCACTACATAATTAATTGCAAATTCTCTTATAACAAATCTTTTAAACTGTATATCGACGCTTGATGTTTTCTGTATGATTAAGCACTTAATGTAACATTCAAGTGTGTTACAATACATTTATGAAGTTTACAACGCTAATCGTATCCGACATCAAGTCAGAATTTTAAAACAATTTATTTCGAATTTATAAAACATTTCCCTTAACTCTTTTTGGATTATGACAAGTCATAAAAGCTGAATATTATGTTAATTAATGTAACACAAGTAAATAAATGCGAGACATCGGAATATCGGAAAATAAGAAAATATCAAATATTATCTATGATCTTTACATTCATAATAGTTTTATGCAATTACCGCAAAAAAATTATATTTGCATTCCTATGCGAATAAGAATGCAAATGCAATTTGTAAAACTTATCGTAGCAAGTAATGCAATAATATCAATGATAACGGGCATTGGAAATCATAAATGTACGATAGATTAGAATTATTTTACCCGACCCCGTGCGTTTCGACAGACTATAATTATTTCCATCAATCTCGTCAAAAGTCACAACTCGCGGGATACGTTGCGCTACGAAAGAAAAAAAAAATCCCCCTGGCATCTTGACGTACTAAATATCAAGCTCGGTACTAACAGAGGAGACGCTTGATTTATTAAAATTACACACCTCATAACATGATTCGCCTTGCGGCTCGCACCTGTAGCTGATAAGCTACGCGACAAATGTCAGTTTACACGCGAGAACGATCGCGGCGATATTCAACACCGGATCTGAAAGTCGAAGAGCGCCTATCGAGTGTGGATATCGGTATAATTCAAACAAAAGATCCTACTGTAGTGGACACGTGGTACGGTGGAATCAAGGCTCGACGGAAACTCATATATCCGGTCACATTAGCCCGTCGCATAAACCTTAGTCATTTCGACCCATTTCCGCGCTAATTACACGCAAAAGAATAAGCTTGAATGTTCTTTCTTTGCAATAAAAAAGAATTGGCTAGAAAAGATGTAACTTTATGTAAATAATATTTTGCCTATACGTAGTAATATATTTAAAGAAAAAGAAACAGTTCGTCTACGATAAAATATGAAAGTGTATATTTTATTTTGCGTATCAAGACACGATAAGCTAAAGTATGTCGCGATGAAATTAGATGAAAGAACGTGGCCGAAACTATGCTAATATATATGAAAATTAGAATTGCAAAAGTAAATACGGAGCCTACGTGTCGAATGTTAATGCACATCTGTGCTTAAGGCACTAAACTGTCTACATCGGTTTACGACATCGTGACAACTTATTACGTTCGCATTATATAGACCTGGACGATTTCTCGAAATGTCGACTGTTGACATATGTTCCGGTTATAAAAACACATCTTCGTTGCGCATTCATAACGCAAAATGCGAAATGATGCATTGCCACGGTAAACTTGCAGTGTCTTCAACGTCGTGAGTTGAGTAATGGCCGCGTTTGTAACGCTTTATTACACATCAAGGCATAATATTATATTTATTTCAGTTTCGTTATTCCGGAGAGATCTATTATTTAAAGATGAGTGCGTTTTTATTAAGGTTTGGTAACATTTTCCATGTAATATAAAACGTAACAAAAAAACAATAAATAAATTTTTAACAAGAATAGGAGAGAGAGAGAGAGAGGGAATTTATTCTCTGCAAGATTTAAATTCCTAATTTCTGAAACCGGACGTAAGAGGTGACAAGAATTTTCTATCTAAAATTCACACATTTTTAATAAAATTATTCAGTATTTATATTTATAGTAATATAATAATTTGAAAAATAGAATTTGTAGAGACGATTATCGACTATAATCCACATATGTGAATCTGGCAACTTTTCGAATTGATATTTAACATGTATCGAATGGAGTTTCATTTCAGGAGATTTTAATAACGCATTTTTAAGAACTCGCTAGCAATTCTGATACTTCATGTGACATAATTAACAATTTAGAAATTCAGTTCCTCAATCGAAATTGTAAGGCAAAATTTGAACCAACTATAATGGATAAGTATTATAATTATATCGTTTGTGAAAAGCAGATTCACTTTAATGTAGGTATCTTAATTTTCGTCAAAATTTGATAAAAATCTTTCATCTGGCAAAAGTATTTGTTGAAAATCATAAAATTCAATCTCGCAAGAAATTCCGATCGATTGTATTAATTTTGTAAAATGCTTGAACGTGTGACGTGAAAAACTCACGCAACTTTCCCTCACGTAGTACGGTAAATTATCCTAAAGTCCTTCAAACTAAGAAAAAACTACGTATCATAGCGCGTAGCGGCGTAAGAGAAGTTTCTATCCCTGGCACTTCAACAGTCATAATTGAACAACATGTTATCCACTTATTTAAGATCCAAGATCTCACACTAAGACGATGCAGTAATATTTCATTAAAGCAGCCGCCAACGTTCTTCTCTCATTACGAAGAACTTCTCGTCGATGTAGTAATATGCACATTATAAAAACTTTGCGAGATGCAGCTTTTTCCTGAACTCAATCGTACATTTTACTGAAGGTTCTTTATTCTATTGACACCCACGCGTGTTTCAATACTCTATAATTTAACCGAGAATTGTAGGTCAATACAAGCGAACGTATTAACAATATTCGAAAGAAATAACAATATTAATTTCGATCTTGCTCAGATTCTGCCTGGCCTAAATGTTGACCCGCGTATTAAACCTCGCTTTAATTTTTCTAAAGGCGAGAGATCAATCTTTATCTAATTTAATTTCATTCCGCGGTCAAATGCGCTCCGAGAAGGTGTTTTGTCTCAACTACTCGATTTCTCTTGTGCAGCTGGTGGTGCTCTGCGTGACGGTAGCCAGCGTTATTGGTGATCTACCACCGGGCACGCGACGCAACACTTATCTGCCGCCAGAGCCGACGAAAGGCGGTTACACATACAGCAAACCAACGGTACCATTCCCGAAGCCCACGCCGACGTTTCCTTCGCGTCCGACCCCGAGCTTCCCCGGACCCAGACCAACGCCGTCGTTCCCCGGACCCAGGCCGACGCCGTCCTATCCCGGACCCAGGCCAACGCCATCCTTCCCTGGACCTAGACCGACGCCCACTTATCCAGGAACCCCAGGAACCTTCCCGACACCGTCGCGTCCGACACCAACACGTCCCTTCCCGGACTATACCGGCCAACCAAGCGATGGTGACGGAAACGTTATCGGTGTAAGTATACGCCAAAACGAAATGAATTTAAAAGGGACACAGAAAGGAGTGGACAGTGCGGCGTGGCCCTTTGCTTAATAAGAGAACTCGGAAACTTAAAAGAAGAGTAAAAAACGACTTCGTCTTTCATTTAAAATAGAATTGGTTATTTTGAGACTCGGCAGATTGTATTTCTTAAAAGTGGAGGATATCCTACAAATAATTCCAAGTGGAAACGCTTGAATTCAAGTTCGGACAATTCAAACAGAACTATCAGTTTGTTCAATTGGTCGAGCTGCTCAATCGATTCAAGTTGAGACTCAAAAGTAGTTGACATATTTAATAAATTTTGAATGGTTTGGGTATTAAAGAAAATTCAAGTGAAAACAGTATTCATTAAAAGTAGGGAAAAAATGGCTGCTGCTTGTTTCATTTTAGCCTCGAAGTCAAATCTAACAGATTGTGCGAACAGATCGAACTATTCAAATATATCTTCGGGCTTGAATAGTTTGGGTGCACCCAGAAGCACGACCGCTCACTGGGCGCTCAGTGAGCTCTTGTATCCGAATGATGTATATTTTTAAATCTAAACGAATATGCCAATCGGATACAAGTGCTCACTGAGCGCTCCGTGATCGGTTGTGCTTCTGGATGCACCCTTGGAATAATTCAATCTTAAAATGCAAACTGTTCGAATAAAAATTCCGAGCACTAAATATTCGCATTTAGATATTGAGCTGATATAATCTCTCAATTATGACAAGTAAGCATGACTTTTTCTTCAAATTAATAATCGTTTCACGCTGTCTATTCTTATCTGAACGAGATGATATATAACGAGATGATAACTACCGATTTGTATCCGTAAAATTCTGTATATACATATATGTATATGTTCATTTTTTAATTGGCACTATAGCATGATCATCATCATCACGAGCCTGGTATGCCCTTCGACTTCAACTACGCCGTGAAGGACGACGCCTTCGGCAACGATTATTCCCACAATGCCATTAGCGACGGCGAAATCGTCCGCGGTGAATACAAGATACAACTTCCGGATGGTAGGACGCAAGTTGTACGATACACCGCGGATTGGCAACACGGTTTCAGCGCACAGGTCTCTTACGACGGGAATATTCGCTACGACAGACCGGGTGGAAACTTCAATCGAGGCTACTAGCTTTAGCGTCGGGTTCTAGGGTTGTTCAATTTCTGTTAAATCGAAAAGACTACAGAGCACAACGAATCGTCGCATATACCGTATGTAACAATATTTTTAAAGATATTGGAGATTAGCAGGGATGTATCGTGAAAATATGATGGCTTACGTAGAGGACAAATGTTCGCTATATATTTCTTACTACGATACCGACAATAAATCCAAAACGTATTCAGCGTTTTAGAATTCACGAAAAGTTCACACATAACGTCGTTCCTCGCGAAACCTTAAATTAATCTTCCCCCCCAAAAAAGGCGAACATACGATTTTTCACAACTTTTCAATGTTTCGATGTTTCGATATAGACTTCGATATGTCGTCCGATACTTTAACGTTATCTAAATCAGTACTTTATTTAAATTCTACTTCTCTTCGAAGTAGAACAGTGATTGTAATTGTTTAATTACAATCTTTAATCGAGAAATTGAGAAACTTTTCACAGCTCACATCCGAGAAAAATTACTGATAGCATGTATTGCTAATTTCAATAAACAAATTAAAATCTATTTTTAACATAACATTTCGTAAGGAATAGTGCTATGTATTATATTCAAGCAATTTTCGAATTTTAGACAATCTATATATCAGTGTGATTCAATTTTCTGCCTTCTGTTTACAGCACTTAAAGAAAGAATTTAACAAATAACACAAAATTATAAATTATATTATGAAATAAATTAAGAAACGTACTTATTTTTCATCTGTGATACATAATTATTATATTATTATTACATTTTGATCGCGAACTAATTTCAACAGCAAATCGTGCAATTGTTGCAATCGTGAGAAAAGTTGGACCACATTGATATATAAATTTCCTACATATTTTAACGTGCAATAAAATCGTATTGTTTAGCACTGCTTTGTGATAAAAATTATACAGAAGGAAAGAAAATAGATATAGAATAGACATATAATACTCTACGTTTATGCTATTCTGTCCTGCTTTGTGCACTAAAATCTCTTGTTTTGTCTTCAATATTTGAAGTTATAATTTAAGGTTCTAAACAATATTAGTGTATAGATAATTACCAATATAATGTAAAATTAATTCACGATTAAACTATGTAATGACATAACTATAAACAATCATATACTTAAGAAAAATTCACTTACAATAAAATTTATAAACGATATTAATATCCTCCCTTTCTGAAACACTGCCAGATTTATATAAATAGAAATACTTCTGCTATATCAACCCTAGTTTCAACTGATATGTGTAATATGAATAAAAATTTTAATTAATAATCTGTACTAATTTTCTATATTAAATAAAATTTTCTAAACTTCTTAAATAAAAAATATTCAATTACTGTCAAATGTTCCACACAACTTAATAAAGTCTGTACATCGTACTAAAATTTCTGTTCATAATCTCTTACTTGACTACTGGAACTGTATCTGCAAATTAATGAAATATATACAGATTTTTAAGTTCTTATTTCTATATCGTTAAAGCAAATCTTTTTCCATCCTTTTCCCACGGAAAATGCGGCTAAGTATGAATAGAAAATAAAACTCATTATGTACAGTATTAATAAACGCTAGTAAATATAATCAAACATATATTTAGACAATTACCTAATCTTTCTCACACAATTTCTTAAGTATTTACATATCATATCCATATAAATGTCCTTCTGCATACGCTCTTGGCATATCAAATGAATTTCTACGAAGTCTTCTACCAACTGGTTCCAAATCATTGTAACATTTTGTGAACACCTTTTCAATAGCCGCGTTTGCCACTTCTGCCGATACTTTATGCACAGCCATCACTGACAATCTAGCTTTGTGCTTTACGCAAGCCTGAATTAATAACATTATACATTAACACATGGATACTGCAGTAAATTAGAAAGAGCTCTCATACGAGAATGAGTACATCGGCGATAATCGATCTCTTCGAATAATAATTTACCTGATGCGTCTCTTTTATGTTAAAGAAAGACGAGTCGCCTTGAAATAGCGAGCTCATAAAACTACAGTGTGCAAGATTTGCCGCTCTAATTTCTGTACAGGCTAGATGCTCGATATTTTTCACGTCTAATTCATTACGGCAATAATCAAACATGTGAATCATTTCATGTAGAAGAACTCCTCGAACCATGTTCTCACTAGTGGCCGAATTTTGACAGACAACTATCTGTGAAACAAATAAGTTATTAGTCTCTTAAGACACACATATAAGTAATAGGTTTTTTTTACTGATTGTTTTATACTGACAGAAATAGGATGAAAGATATATTTTATTAACACATTTAGCGGCGTAAATAAATTTTAATCAAGTGATTTGAGAAAATTCACCTGATTAAATTCTGAATCGTATCCACCAGTTGCTATCGGATTGCACACCTCGCAAGAAATATGTCGTCGGATGTCTATTTCGCTGGAATATCAATAATAATCTAATCTACTAAGTACCAGTGGAATAAAATTATAAATTTATACACACAGTATGTACAATATAAAAGAACAAATTACAAACCATCCGGAACCCTTCAGTGCTCCCAGCATGAGTTTTACTATGGGACCTAAAAGCGACATATAAATGAAATAGTGTTAGATGCAATTGGATAAAATCAGAAAGAACATAACACGATGGATTATTGCACTTAAAACGATTGGAGTATAAATTAAAACAACGCTACGCTCTAAGGTATCGACAATATAAGTTTGCACGGCTTCACTTTTCACTCCGTTTAAGCCTGATCTTACTAATGTAACCAACGTGTTCTTTGTGATCTAGAAACGTTCTGTTTTGTAGCCAATAGATGTGTAAAAAATTGGTGCAAGTTGACGAATTATACATCGCACAATTGTGCACTGGTCGATAAATCAAGCGTTTCGATTTGCTTATATAGAATTGTCTCTAGACGCAAAGAGCACATCGTAGATCAGGCTTTGTACACAAATGTAAAAGTCAGGTCTTACTACGGTTTACACATTTATAAACGTTATCCTCGCATCTGTTCTTGTCTATCGCTTCTCGTCCCTCGGCACCAATGAACCTCTTAAACCAGCTAGGCTTAAATTTCTCTCCTCTCCTCTCCGGATACATGTCCGAGCCCCACAGATCGCCGTTATTCGCGGCTGCTCCTTCGCCGACGCCGCTCTCCTTCTTCTCTCCCTCGTTCGCCCTCTCATTCTTGATCGTCATCGTCGCGCGAGTAGAAAAACCGACGTAGTAAATCCAGATAAATAAATATCAATTGCACCGAATACTCTCGCGCAGCGGCAAGCGTGTTTCCCCAACTTGAGGTTATGGTAAACCCACGTGAGTTACATCATCTCTCTCGCAGCTGAGAGAAGACTCGTTTAGACTCACTTTTCAATTCATTTAATTCGTGCGCATAAATGTCATCGGCATTTTCTGAACATCTAAATTTAATGATCGTGAAAAGGTTAAAAAAATAATCACAAGACATAAATCTCATCGTTTGTAAAACAATATTAAATTGTATACAGTGAACTTGTAATCTTCGTCGATATAAAAGTGTGGGAAATTTCTTTCCAAATAATTAAGTCACTGACGCGTATAATCTGAAACTCTTTAATATCATTTTCACGCGTGGATTATCTGTTTGTGATTTCACATCTGCATAATCTATGCCTGTTTCTACTTTCCTTATATTTCTTTATCTTTCTGCCTCTATCCCAAGTAGAACAAGTTAATCACAAAAACGTCAATGTGACATTAAAATTTTACGTCATAAAATGATCGACATTTAATCAGAGAGCCGAGAAGCGACATATTCCATCTTAGCTCAGAGAGCCGAGAAGCACCTAATTCCATCTTAGCTCAGAGAGCCGAGAAGCGACTAATTCCATCTTTTAGCTCAGAGAGCCGAGAAGCGACTAATTCCGTCTTAGCTCAGAGAGCCGAGAAGCGATTACTTCGATCTTAGCTCAGAGAGCCGAGATGTGACCTATTCCATCTTAGCTCAGAAAGCCGAGAAGCGACTAATTCCATCTTAGCTCAGAGAGCCGAGAAGTGATTACTTCGATCTTAGCTCAAAGAGCCGAGATGTGACCTATTCCATCTTATTGTTAGCTCAGAGAGCCGAGAAGCGACTAATTCCATCTTAGCTCAGAGAGCCGAGAAGCGGTGTATGCATTCAACTGAGTTATGACGGCACAAGTGAGATTTATCTGAGTTTTCATGTAAAAGGAAAGCAACTATTATCGACGACAATTCAAGTTTCCCTCGCAACTACAGTCTGAAACATATGGCGGATCAAGGCGCCAATCGAAGGCCGTCTGGACGGCAACGGGTTCCAGAGGAACTTTAGGTAAACGCGAGCTACGCCAATCCCATCGACGTGGCATGTCAGTTTAGGTCGGTTACTGGCCGGTTGGAGTTGTTGGCGCACGTTGGCACTGGCTGGCCGACGCACTTTCCAGGCGACGCTCCTCGCTAACAGTTGTCGCAGTCGGAGAGAACGGAAAAGAAATTTGTACAAGATGAACAGGATTATCCTTTTGTGCGCGTTCGCGAGTGTGTTCTCCGCGGCTTGCGCCGAGACCTGTCAGAAGCCCGAGATCGTCGCCTCGTCATATGTGACCGAGGACGCGACGGTCCTCACGAACGTCGCCTTCACCATGCAATTCGTGCTCAAGTGCAACAACGGTGTGAAGGGAATCAGTTTGTACGCCGAGGTCGAGGGCAAGACGTTGCCGGCCGTCAGATTGAGCGCCGATAATAAATATCAGGTAATACGCTGTCCCTTTCTTTTGGGTAATATGCGACATTTGTCTCTCGCCCTAATACAGGCTGGCCCCGAACGTTCTGGCTAGACTTTGAGATTTTTTAGAAAATTTAATTCCGAACCAAAAATTTCCTATAAACATGGGTCGAAAAATGCTTCCTTACAAAGTTAGCGCATAAAAACTTCTGGAATCGCGGTTATTTTATACATTTTTGCAAATATCGAGAAGGATATTTTTTAATAAAAAGTACCGAAATATCTTAATAAATTTCTTGGGAAAATCAATAAAAATAGTCCTGTTTAGTCCTATAAAACTTTTAAGTCTGGCCGGAACGTTCGAGGCCACCCTGTATAAGCGAATCGAATAAAGATAGTAAATGTATCTAAAATAAACAAATATCAAAAATTTCATGGCAATATTAAAAATTGTAAGATAAAGTAGCACAGTGTAAACAAGTACTGGAAAAGTGGCCACCCTGTATAAGCGAATCGAAC